TGACCTGTGCCTCCACTTTGTCCCTCTCCTCAGGTGTTGGGCCCTCCTGTTCAGATAAAACACTGCTTTCCGCGATCGCCAGCGCCCTGCACACCAGCCCCGCGCCTGTCACTGGACAGTGGAGTGACACTGCAGTGGAGAAAAATCCTGGAGTGTGGCTCAACACGACACAGCCTCTTTGCAGGGCCTTCGTAGTGACTGATGAAGACATCAGGTAAGGCGCTCACACAGCTTCACTGCAGGGTTCATCGATGTCATGAGTACAGTGGAAACTGACAACAGGCTGAATCTATCACTGATGGCATCAATCAAATATGAATCAAGTAAATGAATAAAGTGTGGTTCATTGTGCCACATGTACCCAGTAACAAGGCAGTGTACAATGTTAACTCTGTTTAGGTTTTTGTCATGTAAAGTTACTAAACTAGTCAGCATGTTATTGGTGTTACACATATCATGTACATATGTCCTGTTCCTAAGACATGAGTCTTAAGGGTCAACTCTAATAGCTACCAAACTGGTATTGTTTCTATAACCACTCTTCTACTGTGAAGAGGAAATTGCTGCCTTCTACTTTTCAGGGATTCTCCCTGTTTTGTTGCCATGTACTCTTCACCACACTCACTCTATGGTGGGTTTAAATTTGTTAGCTTCTCCTGTTGGTTTGATATTTTACCAACAGGTCTACTATATGACATACAGTAAATGACACTAAAAAACAACACAGTGTGTTCAGTAGCTAGTTTATGGATGTATTAAGGGATAAGGCCTGTCATTTTCTGGCTTGTTTCCCACCAGACAAGCCAGGTGACTTTCAGTTGGCTCTATGCGCATATAAATGGGATAAAATAAAAACATCCTAGACTGGCCAATTGATACTGGACCTAGTGAATAAAATTCTGATGGTAAAAAGATTAGTTTTTCAGGGTTTGTGATGCTCAGAAAAATGTATTCACTGTTTTACAGCCGCTCTTTTTCCAATGATTTTCTATGGGATAAATGCTTTTTGGGGCCAGTGTGCCTCATGTGGTGAATGCAGAACTTGTATCACAGTTTAGCCGCTATGCCAGATGTGCTTCACAGCCCCATGATGTTGCTGGGGGCTCAGTTGAGAGGTACCCAGTGCTCTGTTGTTTGTAATGCCTTGACACCTGTTTACACACTAGTGGTGAACTGTCATTTTGGACTATGAATTTGAATTTGTTGCATTATTTATCTATTGTTGTGTTTCTCACTGTTGTAATAGCAAGGTCAAGAGTCACTGGTTGCTCAGAACTGAATAATGTTGCAGTTTATGTTGGCAGTCTGACACATCACACAACTCTGTGAACCTGCTGAATGGGGGAACAGAGCAAAGACACTGCCAAGACAAAGGGTAGAGTCCCTGCAATCCCTTGTGCTTCAACTGCACAGGTTTATTAATTTGTTTGCATGGTGCCTTGGTGGCCATCAGATGATCTATGATTTGTGATGATCTTAAATAGCTGTACAGACATCTTTAAAGATTTTTGAATGAATGAAATAAGTTGTTTTCACTTACTGAGCCATGAGAGACTTATGGATTTTATCTTTTGTCATTGCCTGTGTCCTCCAGGAAGCAGGAAGACCTGGTACAGAATGTGAGGCGACGGCTCGAGGAAGCCCTTATGGCTGATATGTTGGCTCATATAGAGGACCGTGCTGCAGATGCAGCAGTCAGCAAGGAAGAAGAAAATGTTGAGCAGGTGGATAAGGAGGAGTCATAGCTAAGGTACCCAGTGCTTTGTTAGCATATTCCTGGGTGTTTCTCAAGTCTAATTCACTTGCATCTTTGCCTTGTATCCTAGTCCTGCCCATGTAAGATGCGACGAAAAGATGCAAGGAAAACATGTTATTAACAGGAGATGACCTTTCCTTCTATCATTCATCTGAAGTGTCCAATTACCAAGTGATTTTTGATAAAGGGGTGTGTCGGTTCATAAAAGACTTCTGAGAAGGATGGTCTGGTGCATCCTCGCGACCGAGGACATAGGAACAGTCATATAAGAGGCTTGAGTTCACCCACTGACTGCCTTTTGTTTCCTCTGTTTATTCCCACCTGAGATTCTCTTTTGCTGGTGTGAACTTCAGTGTACTCCTTGAATGTTTCCTTTATCAACCTTCACATAGGTTTATTTGGTAGGACGTTTGTTGATAAACTTATTTCTTTTCATTTTCAAATACTTGGAAATACAGTGCAGATGTTTTAATACACTTTTAACTGAACCAAACTCTAAAGACATTCTGCAGTCAGATTTCAACCTAAGCAAAGACTTTTTTTCTTTATTTTCTACATGTGATGGTGTAATCCTGAAAGGCTGCTTTGAGTTTCCTTTCCTATATATATATTTTTTTTAACTTTTACCTCTGCTATTGAACTGCATTTGTAGATGGTGCTCTGTACAATGCAGTGTTGAATTTAGTTAGTAGCTGTTCAAGCTCAAAGTTTAAAAACACAAACCTGATGTGTATGTATGTGAATGAAGAGTCTTTGGGGGTGTGTATTTACATTAAAGTCCATATTCTGTTCTACATGAACATGTTGCTCTTTTTATATTTACTCTGTTACTGTACATGGTGCGTATTTGGAAGCATAGAATGGTTACATTTTGTTTACATGCACAAAGCACTCTTGTGACTAATATCAAATTTAGCTTCTCTGATTAAAGGTTTTTGCAGTTCAAAGTTGTGCCAACTACATTTGGGTTGAGAACAGTAAAAAAAACCAAATACATCTGATGTAACCTAATGTACTGTGCCTATTCATTATTTCTCTGTACCACTGTGTCAGTGTCAAATTAAAAACAGTTCTTGTTTTATTATTGCTGTATGTGTGTTTGTATTCTTGGCTATGGTTACCATTACACTTCTTAGTCTGTGACATACTTTTTTTTTTTATGTTTGGGTGTGCAAAGGATATTTTTGCGTTTTCCAAATCAATTTTAAAACTACTCAAACCCATATGCACCTGTAGTGATGAGCCTGGGTGGCTGGAAGTGCATATAGCCATGCACCTATTGATTTGGAAAAATGTGGAGCCACTCAATTTATGTAGAGAGGATGATACCTTGATTATTTTAAAGCATTTACATGCATAGACCCACAGTTTATGCAATGAATTATTCGTTACCTAGAAAACAAACATGCAGC